GAAGTGATTCTGAAGAACAATTTAGAATGTAGTAAAAAGTGGGGGATTTATGGGACAGACATATCTATTTAGACCATTTGAGACTATCTACTACAAACCAGTATGCAGAAGTTAGCAAGTGGTTAGGAGGGAAGGAAGCCTGCAAACTTTGTAGGCAGTCTCAGGGTCATTAAGGTTTCTTTGATCACCAGGCTGCTAGGGCGTTAGCCTTTAGAGGCCACAGGCTGGCAGCAGAGAGGTCTCATCTAGTTTACATATAATGCAATGACCACGTCTCACCATTCAGGACTTGTCTTCCACAGAAAACAACTGTGGTCTGTTCATTTCTGTACTTGTGCGATGCTGTATAATGCTTGAGCCTCACAGGTCTGCAGATGTCCATCTGTGTATCACTGTCACGCTGCAACACGGGAGGTGAGGGGGTTGAACTAAACGGCTTCTGTCCCCAGACAGCCCGGGTTCAGACTCTGCCTCTATGACATACTGGGATGGAGGTACTGTGGGATTGTGGCAGTGCTTGTGTATATCAAAGGACTGCTGTGAGCAACAAAATAATGCATGTAAAGCATTCAGCCTGGGGTCCTGGAAGTACTCAGGATGCTCCTTGTTATAATTAGTGATCACATCTGTCTCAGATCAGGGTTTCTCAAAAGTGGGTCCCAAGCCTACTTTCAGAGGCAGGATTTTACATCATGATCTAGGATACCCACATTCATTTATATAATAACACTACAAACACTGAGCCTGCTTATATGGTCCTCACTATATATGGACTGGGCAGTGCAGAGTCAGGATTTGAACTCAAGGGTCCTGTTAATGTAGTGCTTTTAACCATTACGCTCCTTGTGGCCTTTTATTGGCCATACATGGGAGAACCAAAAATGTCATCGATCCCTAGCAGCCCCTACTAAGAGGGATGCACAGTGAGAGTTCCTATTCTACTACTACATATTCAATTTCATTTAAAAAATGCTGACCCTAACCCTTTAAATCAATTTAATGACTTGGGACACATAAAAAATTTGAAAATTTGAAAAATACTGTTAAGTGTTGGATGAAAAATTTTTGGAAACCCTCATAATACAAAAGTTAAATGAGTATATGTATCTCATCTTAGAGGCTTCACCATGTTATTGTGCATTATAAATCTCGAACAAAGAAATGATTATCTGGAACATTTCCTGAATGTACTCAAGCTTCCTTAAGTGATGTCTGAGGAACTCCTTGAGGTAGGAGTTTATCAGATTTTATCAGATTCCCATTTATCAGATTTATGGGAATTTTAAGGGGGAATGGTTGTGTGTCACCATCCACCTCCTACCTCTCTTCAAATGTCCCTCCCTTGGAAAAATTTGAAAGTGCAGAAACTGGCTTTTTGTTTTAATTTTAGAAAGAGACAGAGAGACGGAGACAGAGTACCTGCTCAGTGGAGAGTGGTGGCCAAGGGAGAGGGGGATGTGGGAAAGAGAGACAGAGAGAAAGACAGAGAGAGAGAGACAGACAGACAAACAGAGAGACAGAGAGAGACAGAGAATCTTCAGCAGGCTCCACACTCTATGCAGAGCCCGATGCGGGGCTAGACTCCTTGACCCTGGGATCATGATCTGAGCACAAATCAAAAGTCAACTGACTGAGCCACCCAGGGACCCTCAGAAACTGACTTTAGGAATAAGTGATTCTATAATGCGCAAGAGAGCAAACTCAACAAGTTCAGGAACACAGATACATGGGGCCAAGCATCTAAACAACTCTGGGTGATGCTTATTTTTGTGGCTAGCAAACATCTATAAATTAAAAAGGGAAACTTTCTTTCTCTTTAGAGTGGAATGGAACTTCAGCATAAAACACATCCGTTAGAGTAAATTGTTGGGTTTTTTTTGTAATAACAGGATGACAGAGTAGAATCTTATTTCCTGGTTCTATCAATGCTTATTTCCACTTTCTTCTAAAGAATAATCGCCATCAAATGTTACCTCTACAGGAAACAGGTAAAGACAATTCAGGGCTGCATGGTCCAGTATGATAGCCGCTAGCCCCATGTGGCTATTTAAATTAAATAAAAATTAAAATTGAGTTCCTCACTTGCACTAGACACATTTCAAGTGCTCAATAGCCACATGTGGCTCATGGCTAGCACCCTGTACAAATTATGGAACATTTCCATTAGTACAGAAAGTTTTATTGGACAGTACTGACATAGAGAAAGACCATTTACAGATGCTTGAAGAAAACTATTCATTTCTTATTTGGGAGAAGAGCTCTGAGCCCTACTCAGCAGAGGTGGCTTGACTTAAACCACTGTGGGATTAACTTAGAAGGCCACTGCCCAAAGATCCCATTATTATCTCAAAATACCGTTCCAACTGGCCTAAAATCTCTGCATTAAGACTTTCCATTGCCACAGGTTATCCTTCCAAATCCAAACATGACAGGAAATGCTGTTTGGTGATAACAATGGCATGTTAAAGTGCTACTAACTCATAAGCGAGTGTTAAAGTACTTGGAGCAGTTTATGAAAAACCATAAAGACACACAGCACCATCTGATCCAGGAAGAAAAGTCTGCAGTTACAGTAAGTAGGGATGCACTTCTGTTGTTACTCTTAGGATAAGGAAAATATTTATTACACACCTGAGTCTGTTCCTAGACTTTTCACGAATTTAGACCCAGATTCAGCTGCGGTCTTTGTATTCCATTTTGAGAACATATCTTATTTGAGCCTCACAGAACCTAATTACCACTGGAGTGTGGATTCTGAGTACTATAGATTCTTCTGGTGAAGGGGAAGACTGAGAGGCAATACATTATCTTGTCAGTGTCCGTCTTGCTTAATTGGTTACTGAAATGATCCCTGGTGGCCAGATTATAGTGAAAGCAAATGGCTAAAATTGCAGGGGCCAGCTAGCTTTTCCTCTTTCATGACTGCAGGCTGCCCTGCTAATCTGGCTATTGTGCTGCAGAGGTGTACTTAGGTCACAGGGGAAACAAAGCAGGGGTACAGACAAAAGTGTAAAGCAAAGTGCTGTCCCTGTTGGTGATCACAGAGCAGGTAAAATGAGCACGCGCGCGCGCACACACACACACACACACACACACACAAAACCCTGCAAGGTCATTGTAAGCATGATTGTGGTAGTTCTATGACAAAGCCTAAACACCAGGCATTATTATGTTCATGCAGAAAATTATTCCACAGAGCAAACTCTCCTCCACAAAGCAATCTGTGAAAGGCATTTGATGAGAAATACGTGAATTAAGCAATTGCTATAGAGACACTTTAACATCAGTTTAAATAATCCAAACAGATTGCCTATGGCTAATGGCAGACTTAATAAACGTGCACCGTCCAAATCCTTTAATACGTTTGTTCAATGTCATAACAACTACAAAGCAGTTATTACTGTTAGCAAAATTTCTTTATCCTTTTATTTACCGTGTCCAGGTTTTTCACTTCGAACTTAGGGAGCTGGCAAAACATTTATTAAATAATGTTATAAATAAAGGACATACCACTAAAATTCCTGTGCTTATGCCTTGAAGATTAAACTCACATTTCTAGTTAAGAGATGACGGCTATAGCTAACCTTAGAAACATGGTGTCTCTAGGACACATAGGAAAAAAAGTTTGGGATTTAATGCATGAGTGCTGAGACAAAAATTCTTTGATCTGCAAATATCACATATATGAGCCTAACAATTTTTCCTTGAAAACTTTAAGTAGGTCAACTTATTAACTGCTACCATGGAGTTTATATATTCACATTCGCCTATCTTTCTGATGAACTGCAGCCCAGAATGGAGTCACAGCCCTGCAGTATAAAAAACTTGCCTTTGATTCCAGCAGAGAAAATGAAGAAGCAGAAACTGATATTAAGGTTGGCTTTGTTACAGCGTAATCAATACTTTTTTTTTTTTTAACATATCATTAGTATATTTGGTTCCCAGACAAAACCTCACATGTGATAAGAAAGAATGGGTTCACTCGAGGAGAGGCTTCCACCCCAACTGGGCTATGTTCTCACATTTGCAGTCAAAATCCTGGCTCAGCCCTGAAAGACGGTCTGGCCGGAATCAACGTGACAAAAAAATCAGTGAAGTGTTTGGGTATAATAAAGTGCTCTGGGGGGAAGAGTGGACAGAGAAGAGGGGTGGGTAGAGAAAAAGGGAATCTGAATTTAAAATGGGAAAAACACGCTGATTCTTGATTTGATTCATTTATGGAGGAGAAAATCACTAAACAAGGGCTTTCTCCATAATCCAAAGCTAATCACTTTTTTATTGCAATGGATGACCAAACGGCCTCGGTAACCAACCCCCGCCCAACCGCTGCCGCGGCAGAGAAACCGAAAACCATTTCCTTGCAAGTGTGCACCCCGGAGAGGAAAGCAAGACCGTGCATTTAGAGTGGAGGGCGGTGCGCCGGGCAAAGCAAGTTACTCCTTCTTCCCGGATCCCTCGCTTCCTCAGCCAGCCTGACTTGGCTAACAGGAAAGTGAACAGCGCACGGCAGAGAGACCCAGGGGCCAAATCTGGGGTCGCTTCTGATCAGAGTCCACCCGAAAACAAAAGGCCTGGGAATCCGGAGGGGGCGGCGGGTGGGGGACACCTGTCAAAGGACGGGACGGAGCCGCAGCCGGCGGGCGGCGCAGGGGCTCGGCGGACAGCACTGCGGCGGCGGCAGCGGCGGCAGCAGGGACCGAGGCGCGGCGGCTCGGCGCTCGCGCGCGGGGGAGAGCCCGAGGGGACCACGGGGCGCCGCCGGACACTGGGGTCTCGCCCGCGGGGATTCGAGCGGGAGGCTTCGCGCCCGGGGCGCTCCCAGAGGGGGCCCGAGCCGAGCAGGGCCCCCGCGGCCGGGAGGACCCCGCTGCCCGCGCCCCGCTGCAGCGCCCGCCGCTCCCGGGCTCCGCCTCCGGGCTGGGCGCGGAGCCGGGCCAGACGCCCCCCTGGCTGCCCGGCGGCCGGGGCGGAGGAGGGGGCGCCGCGGGCGCCGCGCCTACCTGCTCCGGTGCGGCGGGGCCGCGGTCGCCTCGCGGGGCCGTGACCTGCGGCGGCGGCGGCGGCGGCAGCGGCGGCGGCGGCGGCAGCGGCGGCGAGGAGGGCGCTTCCTTCAGGAAGGGGTGGGATCTGCTCGCCCGCCCGCCCCCGCCCGCCGCGCGGCGGCCCGCCCCCGACTTATTCTGGGGTCCCCGCCGCGAGGCCTCCCGCTGAGGACGGAGCCCCCCACCCTCACCCACCCGAGCCTCCGGCTGCCTCCACCCTTCGGGTCCCGTAATAGTTACCCGGGACTGGAGCTGCGTGTGGACGGCCGGACCGCTTCTTTCCAAAGCCTTTGTGGACGCGTTTGCCTGGCGCTCCTCACCCAACAAAAGGAAGGACAGAATCTGGGATCCTCCGCCTGGTGGTTATTTATTCTTGACCTGTTGTAACCTTCTGGCTGGCTCCCTTCTGTCCACACACCTAGGGTTTTTGCACAGAGCAGCTAAAATTCATCTTCGTATCCACTGGCTGAATGTAGTTCGCCGCCCCTCAGCGCTCTCCCGCGGTTTTCTTTCATCGTAAAGAACAAACACCGGGCCAACTTCTGACCCTTGCAAGGAACAGTGGACTCCAAGGCCTCCCTCCCAGCACCCGCTTGCTCTCTTCCCATGTCTCGTCTGCGTGTTATAAAACTGTATTCGTCGGCATTTTAATAGTTTTCCCCACCTCAGACTTCAGCCTACCAGTGGACCCTGTCTGAGTGACCTCCCGCAGCAGCGTGGATCAATGCCATTTTAATCGCAGGCTCACCGTTAACTTGTATTCCAAACGCAGCTTTGCGGGGCTCCCACAATAGGACCTCCTTTATCACCCTGCCTTAGGATGACTGCCATTCTCTTGGGGGGGAGGGGGGGCCTTACCACGCCCGTCTCTTCATCTGTTGTCTCTCAAAGCAACACGGTTCAAATTTTCCAACATTCCAGAACGTTCCCTTCTCCCCCTGTAACTTGCAATCCTTGCTTACCTATGTGTACATTGACTTATTGTTACTGTTTTCTCTTGGCTATTAGACTGTGAACTTCTTGAGGCCAGGGACCTTACCTTAATGAATGCTAGTGTTATCTGTCCACATTAAAACAACAAAAACAAAAACTGAAGGCTAATCTAGAAGCCCTTGAGAGTATGTGCTACGTTTTTCCGGAGTTAGCCTATGTGTGTTTTTCTGAGGAGAGTAACCATATCTTTCATCAGTCGCTCAAAGTGATCTGTGAGATTTCACAGTTAAGAATTGCTTGGATCCTGGGGCACCTGAGTGGCTCAGATGGTTGAGCCACCGACTTCAGCTCAGATCATGATCATCGGGCTCGCTGCTGTCAGCCTTTCAGCAAAGAGCCGGAAGAGCCCGCTTTGGAGCCTCTGCCCCCCTCTCTCTGCCCCTCCCTGGCTTGTGCTCTCCCCCCAAAATAAATAATTATTAAAAAAATAAAAAAGAATTGCCTGAGTCCCATCCACGAATGAACCCCAGCTCTGATGTAAGAACCTCCCCACTCCATCCCCTCTATGTCAATCATTTCTCTCTACAATACCTGGAGGAGCCCTCTAGCTAGACCTTCTTCCAGTCCATTGTTTTAAAACTTCTGGATCCATCCAAACAATTAGTGGTCCCTCTCAACACTGTCTGCGCATCAGAATCACCAGTGAGGGCTTTCAAAAAGATACATGCTTGGTTCCACCTCAGATACATACAGGTCAGAACCAGAACAGGGGGAGGCTGGGAGAGGTGGGAGGGGAGAGGTGGGATCTGGACATGGGTATTTTTACAAAGAGCCATAGGTGATTCTGACCTGCCCATGAGTAAGTCGCTGCCTTTCTTGGATAAAGGGTCCCCGATTCAGAGAATGTCCTTACTTTCCCTTTTCTCCACGGAAAGATTGAGAGCCCTGGCACTATGTTTAATTTATTTGAACATTTTCATTTTCACTTAGAGCCAGGCCCACTTTTGCTTAAGAAACCAACTCGAATTTGTGAGTCTCGCAGGCTCAGTGCCATTTGTCAGCAGTACTAAATCACTGCCACCTTCATCTCCACAATGTCCATCCAAATAAACCCAAAGCGTGAAATAAATTGTATTCCTGACAGTGATATTGACAGCTGAAATATTATGTTAAAATACTGACCACGAAGGGGAGCTGGTTGCTCTAAGCAGATCTGTTAACGTCGTGAGAGTTCTAGTGAAGCTTCAAGAGAACTGATGACAAACAAAACATAAGTTTATCTTTGCTTTTATCTTTCTTTTATTGCTCTTGGAATCCTACTCATTAAAATTTGCTCGCTGTGTACTCAATATGACCTTTGATGTTTTAAATCATGTATGGGTGTAAAATCAAAATACTTTCCTAGAACTGGTTGTCTTTTTAAAAAATGTGTATAAAGACTCATCCTGTATTCTTAAATGATTTGTTGACAGTGTTCCAAAATGCTTCAGGCTTTGAGGAAAGGGCTAAGTACAGAACTAACAGGGTTTAAGGTCCGGCGGTAGATGCCAACCACAAACTTCATGCGGTAGCGCGGAGACCCCCACACAGAGACATAGTCACTCTACGGCACCGTGATTCTGACACCATGCTGCTCTACCAAGTCTGCTGACCAAAGGGGTGAACAGCACAGGGGTCCGTCTATCTGAGTAGGGGTGATGGCTTTTCTGATATAAGAGAACTTGTTATCTGACCGAAACCACAAGATATTTAGAATTACGAGGAAATTCTATATTTTGCTCATTTCCTCTCTCGGGAAGCCAATTTTGTGGCTGTTTATGATTCAAATCGCTTCGCTTTTTCCGTTGGAAAAAAGGACTGGAAGCACAATTTGTCAATAACGCTCCCAAGATGGTGGGATCCTTGCTGCTGGTTGAACTGCAATGTATCGTGTGATAATAAAAATCTCTGTATAACAAAGTTATTGCCAACCCTTCTCCAACCAGCGAAAATTCAAGGGATCTCTGACAGACGACAGAATCATGCAATGTCTGTGGAAACGACATTTGATCTTTTCCAACATCTATCTGGTAAAGGAACTTTCTAAGGTAATTGGAAAGAGAACGAGAGTACATTTGGTAACGGGATGTTAAATTGGAGCTATTATTTCTTTGCCATCTTGACAGAGACCCCAGATAAGACTTGTCAACCCCTCTCACATTCCAAGCAGGTGCAGGACCACTGGATAGGACTCGCGAAGGGGCGTTTCCTTCTTGTCTCACTTACCTGGGAAATGTGAAGGGGCTGAGGTGGAGGCTGGTGAGATTGTTTGGTCAGAGGAGGGTTTCTGTAGAGGAATTGAAGGTATTGTAAGAGGTCCCTCCTGTGCACCCCCAGGGGCATGTTGGAGGGAGTTTTTCTCTCACCTTAAGTCTGGTGAGAGGTACTCCCGACAGACCTCTTGGGGAGCTTGGGATGCGTTCCCTCAGTTTGGGGAATGCCATGGGCTAGTGTCTGTCTCATGCTTGAGAAATCTTAAAGAGCCAGAGTTGGCAAAAGGGGCCTGGACATGGGGTAGAGGCCGCGGTAGGGGAAGTAATTACTCCCACAGAAGACAAGTCTAAAGAGAGTGAGACAGACAGTGTGGGCTTGACTTTGATCCTACCCAAGAGGATTGCCTGGAAAGGCAGAGACTCTGCAGAAAGAACGCAGAGGTTTGCCTCCAGGTGGCCAGGGCCCAGAGGAAGAATCTGAGGCAACCAGGCAGAGGCAAAATGAACTTGCTTGTGCCAAGGAAATGGGTGGTGAGACGTTCCTCAGCAGGGTGGTAGTGGTGAGAGTGGTTCTGCCCACGAGAGAAAGTGTCAGTTGGAAACATCTGTCATGGCTGGAGAAGCTTTGCCAGGTAGAGCCCCCCCCGCCCCCGACACCTTTATGCCTCTTCAGCTCTCTCTCTTCCCTCCCTTCACCCTAGAGGATTAGGCAGCTTCATGAGAGAAAAGGCGAGAAGCACCAGGATGGGAGAACACAGAAGAAACCTGTGATTACTCCCCTTTGCCACTGAAGCGTGGAGATTTTTTTTATTATGACCCTGTACCAGACATGGTAATTACTGATATAAGGCTGTATTTTTGACTAAAATAAACCAGAGACCCTTTTTATTATTTGAGTGTGACCCCAAAAGTCATAAGACCTACACACTAATTCATCCAAGGGGCAGGAGAAGCATGTAGCCCCACAGAGCAGGTTTGAACAGGCGTGATGGAGGAGGGCAAGGCTGTTTTCTGATTATACCATGAGTCCCGCTGGGTCAACAGATCCGTGATACATTCAGATATATTGCATTCCAGCTCATACCTTATACCTTAAAACTTCTGAGGATGTCTCATTTTGGCATCTTGGCATCCTACCTGAATTACAAATAAGTGATGTGTGTCAAGAAATTCCTTCACATGTATATAAATGATAAGTTAAGATTTCCACAAGAAAGTTGGAAGTGAAGATACTAAATTAAACATCCAAATAGGGGGTGCCTGGGTGGCTTAGTCGGTTAAGACTCTTGGTTTCGGCTTAGGTCATGATCTCATGGTTCCGTGAGTTCAAGCCCCACATCTGGCTCTGCCTTGACAATGTAGAGCCTGCTTGGGATTCTCTGTCTCCTTCTCTCTCTGCTCCTCCCCCACTCATGCTGTCTCTGTATCTCTCAAAATAAATAAGTAAATTAAAAAATTTTTTAGTGAAAAAACTCCATCTAGGGGCACCTGGGTGGCTCAGTCAATTAAGCGTCCAACTTCAGCTCAGGTCATGCATGATCTCATGGTTCATGGGTTTGAGCCCCACATCGGGCTCTGTGTGACGGCTTAGAGTCTGGAATCTGTTTTGGATTCTATGTCTCCCTCTCTCTCTGACCCTTCTCTGCTTGTGCTCTCTCTCTCTCAAAAATGAATAAACACTAAAAAAATAATAATAAAAACCCCATCCAAATGGATCTAAATGCCACTTTGACTTTCTATTAAAAATAGTTGGCTGCCACACGTTCCTCATCTCTAAATGGCTAGAGTTAGATAAAAGGCATCTCTGTCAGAAAATTCTGTTTT